TTTGGTTTTCGGCCATTGCAATATAGTTAAATTTGTGGCATTTAACGCATTCAATGGCGTAAATGAGGTTCGTCGACACGTCATGTTAAAAATCCCGTACTATAAAATTGCCCTAGGCCTGAACCACAGACCTATTCATATAAAATTGCAATACTGCCAACGTTTTCCGACACACGCACCCGTGAGCCAACCCGTGTTGTAGTGCTGTCTCTGTTGCTGTGTTTTGGCCAGTGTTATATAATATAGCGTCCGTATCATGGCCCAACGCGCGAAATTGCTGTAATCAATTCATTTTTGACGCATTCGTAATTTGTTTTGATTATTGATTCCTATTCCAATGCTCGCTGCACCGATGAAGAAGAGTGATCTCGAAAGCTCCAGTCAATGAACTTTAAATACCCATTATTCTATATCCTGACTTTGTTTTAATCACATGGAGCTCGTGTGATGACTTACTCTATATATATATATATATATATATACATGATAGGCTCACACAGACATTGATGTTGTGCATCACAACCACAGAGAAATGACCATATGCCATCGATAGGTATGTTAAAACCGTTCAATGATTCAAGAATGTACATGCAATTATTCCACAGCACTGCCAAGTGGTTAAAATCAGCTACTTAAATATAGTCTAGACTCGGATGTGATTAGGAAGCAAAAGCTGATAACAATTTTAATTAACGTAACCAAAGTGTTGAACTTTGGAGCACTATAACTTTTTTGTTCGAAAAGCAATGAACTTGTCATTTTTACACAATATTGCCCATACATATGGGCAGTTTACTGGAAAGTTTCAATTCTTATCTGAAAGGATTTTGAAATTGAAGAAAATATGTATTTGGCGCAATCATATTTTGGGAAAAATCGTCAAAAATCACATTTTTTGCCAAAATTGTTAATGCAAATCATCACCAAGCCAATTAAATGTGTATCATCTTGTAAGAATTTAATTCCCTTACTATGATACACACACATGGTGAAAGAGGGTTCTATTCAAAACATTTCACCATTTTTCTCCAGCACATGATTCAAGGTAGTCCACCTGAAAGTGATCAGGGAGGTCCCCAACATGATTGATACCAAACAACCTTTTACAACATCCCATGTCTGTAAACGCTGTCTTGCCCCCCTGGGTATAGTAGATATGTGAATGGAATACACAAACCCTCATAGCCATTTTGGGTGTAGAAATATCGAAAGCATCCATGCCTACTTTAGCACTGCAGATCATGTGACAACATCAAGCTATGTAACTGAACATATCACGCAGGTTGACATAGTGATCGCTGCAATATCGCTCAGAGTTTAATAATCACGTACTATATTCCTCTATATATAGTATAGACCAGGCCAAGGGCGTCGGACCCGTCGCGAACTGGCCCGCGCACCGCCGCGGCACTGTTTTCAGGCCATAAATTTTCCGTAAGCCAAAATCTTTCAATAATTTATTACCGTCTTTTTGGCCGGTACATATATTTGCATCAGCGAGTTAATAAAGACAGACTTTGTCTCTTATTTAACTCCTGATATCATGTATATATACGTGAAAATCAACGCGCAAAAGATGGCGTTGTTACCGGCACCGCCGAGAGCGCGCTTAAAGGCCCGCGCGCCAAACTTCGGGCCGGGACTGGCGCACGCGGACCGCGGCGGTGTTGTACACATGTAGCCATGCTCGCCCGCTCCCGCCTATACGAATTCCGCGCGCCAAGTGAGGGCCGCGCATGCGCCGCGAATCCGTATAGTCGGCAAGCGAAAACATTCGCGCAGTTTTCGGTCAGACGCTACACCGCTTGACTACGGCGGGCCTTGGGGGGGGAGGGCAGCTAGCGCGCAAGCTATACGTAGGATTAGCTACGTGTAAATTACTGGCCACGGCCACGCCAGCACGTGCTCGCACGACGTTGCACGCTCGCCGACGGGCCAGCGCGGGTGTCAAGAGCGTGATTAAAACATGCCACGTAACACCAACAAGAGGCGCCGCCGCGGACGGGAGTTTGGAGATGCATCTAGCACCGCCCCGCCAGCCCACGTGCGAGCGCCGTACGCATCTTCATCCCTAAAACCTCTGTGATTAAAACGTGACGCTATTACGGGGCCGCATGTTCGTTAGGCCCCTATAAGCGGAGACCAGGGTCAGAATGAGGTTTCAGGTCAGGGCATGTACAGGGGGGGGGCGGTCCAGGGGGTCCATGACCCCCCCTGCTCAGCCGCAGAAAATGCAAACGAGGTCCTAATTTCAAAAATTACCCCAGACCCCCCCTTCGCGTGCTCGCAAAGTATGTGTTACGACGTTTAGGACTTCCCCCCTGTCGGTCAAATCCTGTAACACGCTGCTCAGGCTCACCTGATAGCCATAAAATTTAATATGATCCAGAACTCTGGCGCACACATTCCTCTGCCTCCGCCGTCTATCTCCCTATTCCTATGCAGGCCCAGCCATGTCCGTTGCGTTATATTGTAGGGGAGCATGCTGTATGCCGGGGTGCAGCCGGGTTCATGACGATATTAACAGTTCGTTTTAGTGAGGCACCAGTAAATTGTATGGCATGGTCTTGATGCGCGAATGTATTCAGGAAGTTTTACAAAGATTATTCCACTGCTTAGGTTCGAGAAAAATAAATTTGGAGTTGTTTTGGTCATTATTGAATATTTTAATTCTATTTTAAGCAACAAATCTTTCAAATATCATGTATTTTTTCTAAAAATTACAGTGAAACACACTTTTTTGGTGCTAAATCACAATGCTCAGGAATGCCACCAGAGGCCACCATTTGCCTTTGGTAGATTTTCAAAAATTTTCACGGGGCGGAGGGGCAATGCCCCCAGACCCCACTAGGGTGGCCTTCGCCTCCCCGTGGGCAGCTCGCCCTATCCTAAAGCGGCGCGGCACTATTTTCAATTGCTTCGACACGCCTTTGTATCAAGGGCGGGGCAGCTTCGCTCCTGGGGCTCTAGATGAGCTTCAATCTCATGGTTTCCTGCCGCCTCCGCTGTGCGTACGTCAATCTCTGCTATTCTTCGCATGCCTTGTCATTGGGAAGATGGATGGACAATCATGACGATTCCACCAAAATACTTGCAGCATCCATTCAGGTAAAACAGAAGGGGGATTGAGTCCATTGTGATATCACGACAATGGCACCTGTTGAAATAGTACGGCTGATAACAATCTGTATCATCAACTGACATGAATAACAATGAAGATGCGGTATCATTTCATTTTTACGGGGTTGAAATCAATATTGAGCGTGATCATACGCCTAAGGGCTTGTTGCTAATAGTGTTTTTCTCTATTAATTTTGTCACATATTCGTATTTATAAACTAGAAAAAGGCAGTTGGCGCCACACTAATTGGTAACCCCCGTGGGTCTCGCCCAAGAGTGTGTAACGTATTACGAAGTTTGGTCGGCTAGGTCACATTAGGGCCGGAGTTATAGGAGGGGAGGGAAAATATGACTTCAAAGTCAAAGGTCAAGGTCAAAAAAAGACCGCCATGTGACCTGGTTCTGGTACTGCCGACACACATTCTCCCCAAGATGTGTAAGTATTACTCAAAGTTGGTAGCCCTAGGTCAATTAGGGGCACGGGATTACTACGCACAGGGGAACGCGGGAAATATTATTGAAGTTCAAGTCAAGGTCAATGGTCAAATAATTTAAAGGTTGCCGTTTTCGGTCACGTGGACACCACCGTCTTCCCCAAAGATGTGTAAGTATACGCACAAGTTTTGGTCACGCGTAGGTCAATTAAGGGCGAGTTACTAGACGGAAGGGAAAAATATGATCAAAGTCCAAGGTCCCAAAGGTCAACTAAAAGCCGCTCTATGACCTCGGTTTTGGTACGCGACACACATTCTCCCAAGCATGTTGTAAGTTATACTAAGTTTGAGTAAGCCCTAGGTCAAATAGGGGCCGAGTTATAGCAGTGCGAAAGGCAAATATGATGAGCGTCAAGCGGTAAAGGTCAAATAAAGGTCGCAGTGACCTGTTTTGCTGCTTACGCGACACACCTTCTCCCCAAGATGTGTAAGTATACAAGTTTGTAGCCGCTAGCGTCAATTAGGGACGAGTTATAAGCAGCAGAAGGAAAAATATGAAATCAAGGTCAAGGTGAAGCGTCAAATAAAGGTCGTAGTGACTCTGTCTTTGGTAGCCGCTAGGCTCAATTAGGGAGTCCGAGTTATAGAGGCGGAAGGGAAATATAATCAACGTCAAGGTAAAGGTCAAATAAAAAGCGTCGCGACGTGACCTTGGTTTCTGGCTACCGCTGCGGAACCTTCTCCCCAGATTTGTAAGTTACAAGTTTGGTAGCGCTAGGTCAATTTAGGGGCCGGTTATAGAGCGCGATAGGGAAATATGATCATGGGTCAATGCAGTAAGCGTCAAATAAAGGATCGCAGTGAACCTGGTTTTGGTACGCGGCCCACCTTCTCCCCAAGATGTGTTAAAGTGATTTACCAAGTTCGGTCAACCCTAGCCTGTCAATTTTAGGCCGGCCCGATTACAGAGCGAAAGGGAAATATGATCAGCGAAAAGGTCAAATTAAACGAGTCGCAGTGACCTGGTTTTGGTACGCTGCCCACCTTCTCCCCAAGATGTGTAAGTAGACCAAGTTTGGTCATGCTAGGTCAATTAGGGGTCGAGTTATAGAACGGAAGGGAAAATCTCTGCGGCAGACCGAGCGGTGGCGGCTGTACAGACATGAAACCATAGTATTCCCGCCGACTTCGTCGCGGGGGATACAATTAATTAGGTTTACACTCGTGTAGTTTTTCATATTTTTCACGTATTTTCAAGTTTTTCACATACTCAATGTAGAGTGTCAATCTTGCAAACATATTTCATTAGTGAATTTTATCGAGAATCATAACCTTCGAAATGCACTCTGTGAAAAATGCTTCCGATTTATCGCCGTGAACGCTTACCTGCAATGGGCGGTCCGATGATGATGCCAACGCCCTGCGCGAACATCAGATAACCATAGCTGTTGTTGAACTTTGCCATTCCGAACAAGTCGATGATAACGTTCGCTATCGCACCGAGCTGCGTTCCGAAGAAGAACCCGAACAGGATGCCGCAGAAAGCGAAGACGCCGTACGAGTGGCCGACGTTGAAGAGAATACTCGCGACGCCGTGCCCGAGGATCGACAGCGTGTACAGCCAGAGGTTCGCATACGGCCAGTGCGGAACAAGGGCAGTGACGCCCGCGAGCGGACGTCCGACCGTGTTTGCGATTCCGATGATCGTGAGCAGGTAGATGGCGCTGTCGTGGTCGACGCCCATCTCCTTGAGGTAGTCGCTGACGATGAAGTACACCGTGATCGTTCCGACGTTCCAGCAGATCATGCTCAGAGCGAACATGAACATCTTGACGTCTCGCAGCAGCGTGAGATCGAACACGGCCATCTTCGTCGGCGACCGCTTCGTGTCCAGCGGCCGCATCATGACCCCGCAGAGAACGAGGTTGAGCGCTATCGCCCCGTTGATCAGCATCGACCCTTGCCAGCCGTACGCCACGATCACCTTGTTGAAGACGACGGCGAAAAGGATGTTGCCGAGTCCGCCGCCGGTGCAGGCGATCGCCGTCGCCAGGTAGCGCCATCTGTTGAAATAAGTTCCGACCATGACAACGGACGGCGTGTAGGCGAGTCCAAAGCCTAGACCTATAAAAAAAACGATTACGAATTTTTTAGGGTAACAAAAACGTGTTCTAGATTCGTACCGATCCTGCATCAATACTGCAGGGTCTCTAGGAAACGTTGTGCATTGAAAATTAAGTTTCACAATAATTATGAGAAGTATACACAGGGGCGTGTACAGCGGGGGGGGTCCAGGGGGTCCGGACCCCCCCCTGCTCGCGCAGAAAACGTATCTGAGGGGTCTAATTTCAAAAATTTTCCTGACCCCACCCCCCTTCGCGTGCTCCCAAGTTTGGGTTACGGTTAGACCCCCCCCCTGGTACAAATCCTGTACACGCCCCTGATACAATGTTACCAGATGAATGTGGTAATTAATTAATACTATTGAATTCTACAAAGAATGAGCAGCAACAAACACTTCCCCGTGTAATTATAGTTTATAATTAATCAATTGTATTTATATGCTGCAAGCATTGAACATATTAAAAATAATGATCATCATAAGCAACAATGGTTCCTTCTAGACACAATGAAGTGATAATGCAATCCTCATTTCACGCAATGAAAATCAAGACCAAAAATTTGGTGATTACATAATTATAATGCATCGAATTATACCTGCTGTTATTCCAAAAGTGATGATCAAGTGGTAAACATTTGTAGCAAAATAGCTTGCTACCATTCCAGTTGTAGCTATCAGACCTCCCAAAATGATAGTGAATCTGCAGCCAAACTTGTTCAAGAAAACACTTGCTAAAGGACCTGGACAATGTATATAACAGTTATTAAACACGATAAAACTCACGATAAAGCAGCGATTCCGAAACATTTTGATATTACATATTGCACTCTTGGTGATTCCCAAACCCTCGTGGCAAAA